ATCCAGGTCATCTATTTGGTCATCGTCGTTAACTGTTAGTACTGTCAACACAATATTAATAACTTGTTCTGGGAATTTGCCCAAACGTGAATACAGCACTATTTCGATCATATCGACGAATGTTGATTAAAAAATGAACAAAATGAGCGTTCTGTAATGTTATTAATACTCCGGAGTACAACCAAGCCTACAAACTTGAAGCTAACTTATTGTATACTATACTAGTACTAGTATACTAGTACTAGTATACTCTGGGCTTTAATATAATGTACATTTGGTATGACCAATAAGAGTCACGAAACAAATGTATTCAGCAAATCAAAGCAAAACCAGGTGTTTCATCGAAATGCATCGAAATAATTGGTGTACATCTACCAATCAAAAGCTGTAGACGACACATTGCATCCATTTAATTGGCGGAAAAAATCGGCTGATACTAGTATAATAAATCACAGAGTAGTACTAGCTAGTATGTCATTGATACTGCACGAACAACACACCATTGCCGATTTCACCTCACAGTAGCTTTTCCTCGTTTATGTCAAAGTACTAATTCGAAGTAACTTAGACCTGGACGACAACTGTTATACCAGTCCTACAGTAAGCACATCTCCACCATGTAACGTTAAGCGTTATGGCTTTCCGACCTGGTCCTGTGCATCCCTTATGGTACTGTCTGTACCTACATCCTACTGTGTACCACACTTTTTTGAGCGGTCGAATTGAGCCAATCACAACCCCCCAATTTTCAAGTTACTCACCTCGGTGATCGATTTACGCTACAACGTTGGTAGGCTCCATGGAGTCGAGCTGCTCGGACACGCAGGCCTTGTACACAGGTGCCTTGCGTGCATGTGGATACACACCCAGCTTCTCATGTGAAGACGTGGCGTGTCTGCACAACAACCTACAGTGGTGCAACAGCTCGGTGTGCTCGTCCGCGCTCAGTTTTGCCCAGAATCTGACCACCGAGTGCGGACGACAGCCGCTGAATCCTCCGATGCCGCTTCAGATCTGCGACGTACACCATCACATGGACATCCACATAGTTATCGTGCTGACTGTTCGTCATGTAGACTGCTTGCGTTGGCGCGACGCGGCTAGTCCATGGCCTCCTTACCACTTGCACTACAGCGACCGGCGGCCAAGGCGATCTGGCCGCGTGCTTGGCGTGCCAGTACTACCAAGGCAACCGAAGCATGCTGTTTACGCACTGTAAGCAATCTGTCCATGGGGGTTGTATCCATTCATAAGATGGGTACTGTAGGTGCCATTGAAGGCGTGTCGTCGCCCTACGGAGCTGTGGCCGGTGCCACCATCTCGCGCTGCAAAATCATCTTCCCCCAGCTACCGCCGTCATTTCCAAGCGCATTTGATGACTCGTCTTCAATGGTCGTCCGCACCGACGTGCAAAGTGCCCCAGTGTTTATTGTGGTTGTGATTGTGGGTATGGTTGTCGCTGTGAGTGTGGTGATTCTCGTCTACTTTCAGGTATACATATACATGTTACATACATATTGTCCTTTTACCCTAAATTTCGACTTTGTACTGACGTTTGTATAATCGTCCAGTGTCAGACAAATTTCATTCACACTCGAATTCAATGTTGAAATGGTCGTCCAAGAGTGGATTTGATTGGCCACTTGATTCGTGTTCTGGGTTTTGATTGGTCGATATATCTATTGTCTGGCGATTTGGTGATTCTGCTCATTGACCACCCCACTGTATATTCGAATATCGACTGGACAATTCGACTGGACATGATTGATTGATTGAGCTGTTTCAAGCTTTGAATAGATGTGTACGTACCGCGGCCAAAATAGGTTATCAAATGAATGATTTCATTATTGTCGATTTGATACAAATTTGGGGAGGAGGTGCAATCGAATCGCGCCGACCAAACCGATCCACAATCGATCTGATTGGTTGAATTTCATTGAGAAGGTTTTGATTGGCTAATAATTTTGAGCTAATCTGAGGTAGCCAATCAAATCGATTTAAATTCCAACGAGATACCAAGCCACAACACAATGAAATTTCACTCGAAAGCACAATACGAACCGAATTTCATAACTCCTTCATAGAGAGTGTCCTCATTAGAATACCCTTAACTTATGGACAAAAAGGTGTCAGGAATGATGATCTTTCATGTTCACGGTGTGTCCTCGTAATGTTTATTATGTCTGTAGCAGCATGATCCATATACAGAGGTTTTGATGGTAATAATGTGGGAAATGATTCAACACCTTTAAATACACGGATAAATATATACTTCGTAGTACGTAAGCAGTACATCAACTATCGATCATTTCCAATCGAATACGCTGTATACCAAATCGGTAGACAATCGATCGACCAATCAAAACCCAAAACACGAATCAAGTGGCCAATCAAATACTCTTTTCGACCAATTTAACATCGAATTAGTATGTGACTGAAATTAGTGTGACACTCGACGATTTATATACAGTATGCACTCAAGCTTGCATGTTGGGTTGTTGCCGCCATATGCACTTCAACTCATTTAGTTTTGACAGCTAGATGCATTTGATATATATACATAAATATTGCCAATATATATATATATATATCTCAAATCTGTCTAGTTTCGCAATGTCCGCAAAGCCCAGCGCCGCGAATCCTTCCGTGGCGCCATCGTCGTCCAGCCTCCCATCCAACAACACCTCCATCATGTCCACCATCATCATCACAATCGTCGCCACCGCCGCGGCGCCGTGCCCCGTCCCACACTACACCGAAAGCAACGGATCACTCGAACGTCGATCCTTAGCTTTGAAGACGAAGAGCCGTACATATTGCCGTCCCCCGCGAGCTACGACATGGTGCTCGGGTCACCGAAAGATGGCTCAGGCATCGACGACGTGCGATTTGACAAAAAGTTTACGCAGTATCGCATCCCCGTCGACGAATTTGTGAATAAAACACTGCTCGACACTGGCGGGTAATGCGGGGATTGTACTATGTTTATATATATATATTGAAGTGATCAGTTTGGAAGAATCTACATTGGATTTTATAT